TGAACATCGACTAAGTCTGTAAAAAGCTAGAATTTGAACATCACAGCAAAAGATCTTCATTAACAGAACTAGAGAACCTCACAATTTTTCAAATGCACTTCATAGCAGAATTCTTTTCGCAAAGAAAAACGATTCCATTCAATGAAAATGGTTATTAATCAGAATCATGAAAGTAATTTGAAATATTCATCTCAATCAACAAAATTGAAATACATCACAACTCATGTCTGCTTCATTATGTGAGTGCGTTATTTTATGTTTTTTAATTAAAAATTCATGAATATCAAGATATTTTGTTGATTTTTTGAGTTCATGAGTGTCATAGTGAAGCAAAAAAAAGCATCATATTCAAACAATCCTCATATTGATTTTGATATTTCTCAGAGCGGCTTACAAAATTGAGATACGCACAGGTTTTAGAGTGTAAGAATTTTAATTTTCGTTGTAAAAACTGTTTTTACTATAGTTAGGGATGCACCAATTCCAGAAAATTGGCTTCAAAGATGCTATTTTTGCGATACGAAGCACTACCAATTCCAAACAATTTTTTCTGTTAAACTTGATCAACTTGAATCGCTCTACCTGTAGTGGTTGTCGGATTGCACTAAATACGATTAAAAGATGTCAGAATTGGTCGGAATTGGCTAAAAATTCTAAATTCTCGACCAATTCTGCCATCGTTTGATTGTATTTAGTGGAATCCTGCAATCATTACCAGTAGAGCGATTCAAGGCGGTCAAGTATAACACAAAAAATTGGTCGGAATTGATGGTTCTTCATATCGCAAAAATACCATCTTTGAGGCCAATTTTCTGGAATTGGTGCATCCATAACTATAGTGAAAAAAGGGTGTGGGTGTGGGTATGGGTCTGAGTTTTGGTGTGTATGGAGGCAAGATTAACATCTACACCCACACCCACACCCACACCCACACCCACACCCCACACCCACACCCACACCCACACCTCACACCCACACCCACACCCAATACATAACGTGAGCTTATATAGGAGAGAGCTGGAAGAGAGAAGTGAGAGAAAAGAGAATACAACATCAGAGGAGAAAGGAAAGAGGAATAATATAACAGAACATTACGCAATCGTATCTTTTAGATATGAAAGACACGTTTATATGCGGTGAGGTCAAGGAGAGAACAGACATAGAGGAACCGTATAGTATACGACTGAATGGCGTTACACAATGAGAAGCGCATAACGACAGCAAGAGAACAAAGTTAAATCACGCATAGATGAACGTAAGAGCAATACAATCCACAAACATTGTGTATCATAGATTGTATGAGAACACACTGAGAAATACAAGATATCACATAAGCTAATATGCCCATTGGCACAGAGAGCTTGTTCGCAAAAGCTTGGATTCTTCCAATCCATCACCACTAAGTTGGTAAATGTGCCATCCGTATTACAAATCCTATGAGACAAGGTACTTTGCACCGCGAAGCCTAGTTTTTCGTACAAATTCATCGCCTTGGAATTGCTTGTACTGACAAATATCTTGAAGGTACATATGTGCTGCATTGACTTCGCAATTTCGGCCATAACCATTTGTAATAACTCTGTGCCACATTTTTGACCCTGTGCACTCGGCTCAATCAGCATCGTAGTATTTGTGAGAATATGTGCGAAACGACAGAGGTCAGACGTGTAAGTCTTTGCGAAACCAATAAGTTTTGGGCTGTTGCATGTCACTAGAGCTAGACCACGTAAGTTAGCTTGTTTAAATATGAACTGCACGTAAGGTAATGTGAGCTCAGCCATATCTGGATCGATCATGTTCGTAGAATCACAAATTACTTTTCTGTACAATTCCAAAATACACGATGCGTCATCTGGTTTGGCGCGCCGAATCAGTAGAGAATTTTTGCTAAATTTACGCGGTGACCATATTTGTATCGATTTGCACACCGGAAGAAAAGTATGATGCCTCGTTGGTTGTATCATCATTTCGTCACTTGATATTAATGAAAGTACTTAAAAACAATAACTTCGTTAGAACTTGAAATCGATGTTGTGTTGAACACTAATATCAGAACGTGACTAAAAAGAAATATAAAAAAGACACTCTAAAATTCACAATACAATCTTTCAGTAGTGAGATGAAAACAATAAGTAACTCGTAAAGACGAGGGTGTGGATGTGACTGGGTGTGAATATACCTATGGCACCCTTGTATAAATCTCACTAACAACCACAACGACACCCAAACCCACACTCACCCTTAACTACACCTACAATTACACCGATACCCACACCGACATCTACCAACCCACACACACCCGTACCGACACCTACAACCTACACCTATCCACTCACACTCACACCCTATAGATCCAGGACAAGTGCCTAAAACGGGTTTGGATGTGGGTGCGGGTGTGTGATATACTTCTTTTCTTTGCACGCACGCCCACACCCTCTCTATCACAGCTTCTCGATATAATATTTATTGAGACTAACTTGTTATTATATAATCACAGATCAAAACGAAAATGCTTTGAATGAATTCTTTCCTAGAGATTAGTAGATTAGTCTTCAAAAATTTTTTTATTAGTTCAATCATAATTATTGAAGTTGTGTAGTAAATTTTGCAAACATTACATTTCCAAGCAATATGTATGACAAAAAACCTAAAACGATCTGAAAGAAGTAAATTTGTGGCTTTGTTAATACTTGTGGAGCTAGAGCTAGATTCAGTCGATTCATCTAGATGTTTTGTTCCATAGTTCGTTTTTTTTTCATAAAAATAACGTATTAGTCTTCGTAACCAAAAGGTTCGAAGACAATCATATTGTTTAGTACAATTCACATTCGTTTACGAAGAATAGCGACTATATCAGATCTAACTTTGAATCAGGTTTTCAAGTGAATGATGTGTAATTTCAAAGATTAGATGAGTTTATGATAGCTCAAAACCTTGATTTTTTCACTGTTTGTTATGGTTTTTGAAGAAAATATCCTTTTTTTTTTAAACAAGAACAAGGTTATAGCTAATTGGTAAGTAATTATAAATCATAACTTGGTATTCTACCTGCCCTATTCAATTTAACAAATTAATATTAAAAAAACGCATGCGCAAAACACCAATCATGACGATGCATAATATTGATAATTGCATACGTAATTATGACGACGTAAATATGAGGAAAGAAAGAAAAAACCGTATAATTATAGAAGAAATTATTCTCTTCAGTGACAAAATTTTATATTCTATTGAAGTAGTTTGTTTAAAATCATTACATATATCATGTCTACATCTCATCATCACCATCATCATCGTCATAATTCTCAAAAATCAGAACCAATGGTTTCAAGAGTTGCAACTGGTAGTAAAGCACGAATTCATATTATCTACTATTCCATGTATGGTCATGTTTCAACATGTAAGTTTAAATTTGAAAAATACATTACAAAAAATAAATATATGCTTATATTTCTAGTGGCTAAATCTGTATTAAAGGGTGTTGAAGCAGCTGGTGCTGAAGGTCGTTTGATTCAAATACCAGAAACACTATCAAAAGAAGTTTTAGAAAAAATGCATGCACCAGAAAAAGATAAAAACATTCCAACAATATCAATGATTCCAGGTATAGAAAATACAGTTACACTTGAAGATGCACTGGTTAATTGCGATGGTATTCTTATGGGTATTCCAACTCGTTTTGGCGGAATGCCTGCACAAGCTAAAGCAATATGGGATGCAACAGGTGAACTATGGATGAAAGGTGGACTTGTTGGAAAACCAATCGGTGTCTTCTTTTCAACAAGTACACAAGGTGGAGGGTAAGAAAGTAATTTTGAATATCATCAAAGATTCTAAATGAATTTCTGATAGACAAGAAACAACAACATTAACGTCATTTACAAATTTTGCTCATCATGGAATGTTATTTGTATGCATTCGAAAATAAATTTCTATAACTAATACCGTTTCTTTTTGTACAGGTACCTATTGGTTATACTAGTCCACTTTTGACAAATATGAATGAAATTCATGGCGGTAGTGCATATGGTGCTGGTAAGTGATTAGATTATCTATTTCGTTCTTTGGACTTTTATTTTGGCTTTTTACAGGTACTTATGCTGGCATTGATGGATCACGAAAACCAACAGAATTAGAATTAAAACTAGCTGAACATCAAGGATCACATTTTAGTCAAGTAGTAATCGCATTAAAATTAGGTCGAGCAGCATTAGCATCTATCAATGCAAATCAAATTGATTCAAAACAAAAATAAAATGAATAAATAACAACAATATAGCCATGAAAAAACAGTGATAAATTTCCGATCTGCAATTTTGTTGAAATTCTAATAAAACAGTTCTTCTTATTTATATTAAAACGATAGAAATTAGTATTAAATAAAAATTGGTCTAACTAACTCAATGTATTATTTTTTTGCACAGAACCTTAAAAATGTCAAAGACTATTTCCTAAATACTATTTGTTCTAAGTAGGACTATGCACTAGGGATGCAACGGTGACGGTAGCCACCGGAGCCACCGGAGTCACCGGAGCCACCAGTCGTCGGTTCACCGTTTACTAGTGCCACCGGTATACGGTGCACCGTAAGCACCAGCTACAACGTACTACAATTAAAGCTACTCAGATTGATCTGATGCCTATCAAAAGTAAAGGTGCTCATTCCATAATCGAGAAGCGCACCCTCAGTGGCTATCCATCTGGCTAGTATGATATATGATTGTATTTCACAAAATTCATAAGCTGTTTCCATATAGTGACTACTTCACGAATACGCTATTGACTACAATACATTTCTTCAAACACAATTTCTTTCTTCACAAGTCATTTCTCAAGATCGATTTGAAAGTGAAGTTAATTCATCGATTAATGATTGGAAATCTCAAACTATCAATCAATTTTTAGAAACAATAAAAATATTTCAAGCTGTATCACGTGGAAATCAACTTATGAGTCAACAATTGCTTTATTATGGTTATATAGATTCAAATGATAGAAAAATGAATGTTGAAGTAGCAGAATATTTCAATTGTTCATGTACTTTATCTTCATCATGTCTTTTTCCTATCGGTATAATCGATGTCTCTGACATTAATTCAACACCTACTAGTATCATTATCAGAGTTCCAATTTTTTTTCTTGGTTGTTACCCAATCGATGGATTAATGAAATCAACTTTAGAATGTTTTTATAATTTATCATGTATGCTTGAATTAGATATATTTGTTCTACATTCTCCTGGATATTCTTTTAATTTTTCAAATTTAAATAGAAATCTTAATTTACCAAATGAAACAATTGAATTAATTATCAATAGACTTATGATTGATTCTTGGAACTTAATTATTTCATTTTCTTCATATTTCAACACATGTTCTCCATTAACATGTACATATGAATATATTGATCGAAATAATTTATTCTTTACCATAACAACAATTCTTGGTATTTTTGCTGGTTTATCTCTTGGTTTAAAATTAATTATTTTAATTATTCTTCGATTTATTGAGAATATAATTGATAATCATTCTTTAAATGAATTTATAATAATGATAAAAAGTTTATTTGTTTGTAATACTGAACAACGTATGATTCATCGACTTCATTTGATTTTTCTTTTACTAACATTATTTTCATTATTTCTATCTTCTGCTTTTCAATCAAAATCAATTACAGTTCATATAATAAAGCCATCACTTTCAAATTATAAAGATTTATTAAAAGATTATTCTAATTCTCTTCGATGTTCTTGTTCACGAATATCAATTCCATATGAAAAATTTCTCCATATTAAACCTCATTTTCATGACATATGTTCAAGTCAATTTATTTCTGATGAATGGATTCATTACTTGTATGGCGAAGGTAATCTTTCTCTTCGATTTTCATTTGATGATTATCGTTATTCAGCTCCTGGACAATTCCGTTCACTTTCTTCACTTTGTAAACTTACTCAAGAAAAAGTAAATGATACTCTTTCACATTTACTCACAAGTTATTATATTAATTCTCAACTTCTATCTGAAATTCTTTTACTTGAACAAATTGAAATAATTCTAAATCAACTTCAATCAACAGAATTCAAATCATTTCTTAATGTTTTTAATTTAATTCGTGAAATACTTGGTTCAAATATGATTATGAGTGCATGGATTACGAATTGGGAATATGTTTATGAAAGTGAATATTTATCTTCTGCACCTTTACATACAGTACCTATAAGTTATGGTCCATGTAATTGTGGATTCTCATTTAAATGCACTCAATTATCACAAGGTATGATGAGTGGTTGTTATCCACTTGAATCTATTCTTCAAACAAAACTTTACTGTTTTTATGATCAAAATTGTATTGATTCAAATGGAAATTTTAGAAGATTAAATATAACAATGTTGCAAATAAGTCAATTTAATTTAAATTCAACAATTGAATCAATTTTAAATAATTTAATGATTGAAGAATATAAAAGTGATATATCATATGAAAACTATTTTAATCAATGTAAACCATCATCATGTTCATATTCTTATATTAAAACCCATGATATTACTCAAACAACAATGTTTCTTGTTTCTCTTTATGGTGGTTTAGTTCTTATAACTCGTTGTTTAGCAGTTATTTTTGCTAAAATTTATCAATATAGAAGAAATCAAATTGATCCTGAAACACTTCAACAAAATATTTAATATATACCGAGAAAAGAAAAATAAACAGTATCGATAGAGAAATAAATAAATATTGTCAAAATCTTAGATGTTGTATTGAAATTATTTAATAAATTTATCAATCATATAAACATTAGTCTTCAATAGAAATACATTAATTCTATAAAATTATTATTTTAACTAGTATAGCTTAAATCTATATCATTTAATTCATGATATATGTTTAACAGAACTCAATTTGAACCTGAGAACAAGGCCTAAATCAAGCAGGGTGTGTGTGGGTGTGGATGTAGATTCATGTTTAGATTCCGTCACAAGTATATATCTACACTCACATTCTCAAGATCTGTATGAATCTCAAATTCTTTGTGCAGGAAATTTATTTCTGTGCAATGCCTTTTCGATTTCGTCCTTCAAGCAGAGTAATGCCGGTTATCTGATGTTTTCTAGTTAGGAGAAATAATCAAGTCTTATTTCGGTGTTCATAAGGATAATAGTATGAATAACCAAATATTTCAATCCGACAATGAACAAAATACTGATCAATTATTAACTAATACTTGTTTAGATAAATAGAAATGAAAATATTGATATAGGAAAACACACTTCCTTTATATTGATAGAGCATTTTATTAAATTGTAGACTTACGAATCGAAATGGGAATACGGCTGGCAACTCTGTGAAGTCGTAGACTCTCTTTTAATACTTTAGCGACAATGTGGCCCACCGGTACACCACACTATAAAAAATTCCAAAATCTAATGTATCGAAGAAAGAATTGAATCTCGTTGACATATTTTGACTGAGTAAGTCGATTCTTTTCGTAAAGATTTATTCTGTAGAGTAGTTTGTATATCTAGGGAGGGTGTGGGATATGGATGCGGGTGTGAGTATAGCTATTGACTAAGACAAGACAAGACATAATTACACTGATTCATACCCTTATTTTACATGAAGAACGAGCTTCAATATTTTCTAGATCGATGTATCTTTAAGTGATGCTCATTTAGGTGAAGAAAATCAATCTGATCCTAATACGTCATTTCTATCTAAATTAGTAATTTGGGTGTGAGTATGGATGCACGGGTGTCGTATAGAAGAGAAAACAATACCTACACCCACACCTTTCTAGTCATCTTGATAATCACCACTATATGGACCTGCATCCCTGTCATTACATAATTTTTCAATTTTTTCCCAGCTTCTTTTTCGAGATTGCTTAACATAGAAATGATCACGTACTGGGTAAAATGTGAGTAGTAAAAATAACTATATTCTTTTTATTTGACGACATCGATTTGATCAATAAGTGTGACTCAAGAAAAAAAATATTTTATCCATGCGAATTACCTATGGTTACAACTTCACCGGTAGATGTAATTCAAAAAAATTCCTTTATGGGGAGAAATGTTTTTTTTTTCTTCAGTCTACTTATAAAATGATCGTTTAAATACGGCAGTGTAGGAGAGTGTGTGTACATAAAAGGTTTCCCATAAGAAAAGACTTCTTTTTTATTTCCTTTCAATCTTTTTCATATTCAACTGTGTAAGTATATTCAATACAAATTTTTAAGGAGTATAATCTAAGCTATCATTAAAAAAACAAATTGTGTTACATTTATATAAGCTTTAAAAGAGAATCACATCGATAAAAATTTTGTAACATTCAGTTTTTTTGCTTTTTCTCTATAAAGAATCACCATTTTTAGTATTTTGTGAATATCTCGTTTATGTTTGGATAGTTTGAAGTAACGGTTTCTTCCAAAAGGTATTGTGTATAACTCTTTATAAAAACCCAATGAAGAATAGTCTTTTAAAATGGTTGTTAAAAAATTATATCCGATCAATAATGGTGAACACCAAAAGGATCTAGTCTTATAGAAACTTTGTTTTTTTTTTAAATCTAATTATTTCTCATCTTCTGAAGAAATAGACTTCTTGCCATTATTGGTAATTATTTTAAAGAGATTTACATAGAATATATTTAAAACAAAATAAGTCAAACACTTAAAAAATAAAAAAAGACATATTCACAACTACTAAAAAGGCAATTCTTTATAGAGAAAAAGCAAAAAGTGCATTTAGAAAACTTTTTTTGAAAATCTTTATTGATATAATTCCTTTTTAAAGTTCATGCAAATTTAATACAATTTTTTTCTTATTGATAGTTTCCATGATGCTCTTCAAAGGTCTGCATTGGATATCTTTCCACAGTTAGTTACGACTAAGATAAAAAGAAAATAAAAGGTCGTTAATTTTTCAACATCCTTTATGTTTACTATAATTATGTCTTACTTGTTGTTTTCATTGATGAAGAAAATCATTGAAGTCTTGAGCGAATTTCTATCGTATTTTTCTAGATAGTTTCGTAATGAAATACGTGAGTACAATTTAAAGACACATAAATAAAGTTGTCTATTAGTTAGTTGTAAAAAATTATGAATAAACCTCAATTTTTCTGGTATCGGAAGAATTACCCTAAGGTTTATATTACTTTGTTACATAAAAAGCTATAAAGTAAACGGTGAGAAAAAACAGCATAAGTAAACCAATGTTTTTTTAAAGCTGTTTCTTGAATATAAAATTAGAGTGCAACATGTTGTTAAGTATTAGAGGAATTTTCTTTTTTTCTTTTTCAGTAAAGGACGGCAACATGATTACTGATGGTAAATATATTCCGGACGAAGACCTAGTGCTTTGGCTTAGTCAGAACGATGAAATTTATCAAACTATACAATCAAAGTTACATGCGATAGTCTTTCATAACTATGATGATTGTATTGATTACATGACTGAAATCAATGATAAAAAAGTTATTCTTATCATTTCGGATCAATACAACGAGTATGCTGTATCTATTATGAATGATTTTGAGCATTTAAGAGCAATTTATATATTACAGTGCAATACTGATAATAGTATTAAATGGCCTACAAAATATAGCAAGGTGTGTATAATCAATTGTAAAAGTATATAGTCGAACTAAAGCATAATCTGCTGAATTATTAACTATAAAATCTCTATTTATGCTTTCTTTTCTATTATTCTAGGTCAGAAGTGTATTTAATAATATAGATTTCCTTGTAAAGAATCTATGTTATCATCAAAGAATATCGAATGAACAGGTTTCTTTTACTATTTTCAGCAATAAAACTAATATGCCTGATGTTGACAATACTGCATCTCCTGAATTAAAATCGCACAACATCGCGTTTATGTATTTTCATCTTCTTATCGATATTTTATTGAAAATGTCAGCTAACATTGATTCTTCTTCTAAACAAGATCTAATAAATCATTTGAGACGTGTCAATAATGAACAATCAGCATTAAAAGTAATCGATGAATTCGAACAGAATTACAAAGCTGAAAATGCAATATGGTGGTATACTAGAGACACATTTCTCTATGTTCAACTTAATGAAGCCCTTAGGAGATCAGATTTTGATGTTTTATTTGCATTTCGATTTTTCATTGCTGATTTATATAAACAGCTGACTATTGAGCATGAACGACTTCAAACTGATTATGCTGCCATGTCAAACGACAGCTCAATATTGAAAGTCTATCGAGGACAATCGATTTCAAATGAAGAATTAGCTTTACTTCGCGAGAATCAAAATGGATTCTTTTCTATGCAAAGCTTTCTTAGTACGAGTTTGAACTCAAATATTGGCCAAATTTATGTTGAATCAGCTGCACAACCAACAGACACACACGTACGTATTCTGTACGAGTTCAACATTGATACACGTTTACAGACCACTAAACCGTATGCTAAAATAAATCATTTGAGTCGTTTCGAACACGAAGATGAAGTTCTACTTGCACTTGGGTCTGTCTTTCATATTGATAACGTTCAATTTAATGATATTAATCAAATATGGCAGGCTAAATTAACTTTATGTGATGATAATAGCTTTGATTTATATGGTTTAATGAAACAATATGCAAGTGAAATTGTTTATGATAGAGTTTCTCCTGGTTTTTTACTTTATCAACTAGGCAAATATACTAAAGCAAAAGAATATTTTCAAAAAATTTTAAAAGAAAAACATCTTACAGATAGCGAGAAAGCTCATTGTTATCGTGGATTAGGTACTGTCGCAGCCGAGCTATACAATTTTGATGAAGCACATGAAAACTTTGAAACAGAACTTCAAATATGGCTTAGACTTGATGACGAAGATAATATCATGGAAACACGTAAAAATATTGGAAACATGTTGTTTTATAAAGGAAAATATCAAGAAGCATTAGATTGTCTCCAAACTGCTGGTTTATATTTTAGATTGAAAAATAATTTTATGGAATATTGTCGTATATATGGTATGATTGCACATATTACGGGTGCTTGGCAACAATGGAATGATTGTTTAGTGTGTTATGAAGCACAATTAGAAGCAAGAGAACGAGAATTAGATCCAAATCATGAAGATATCGGTATTACACATGCAAATATTGGTGTAACTTATCACTGTATGGGTAATTATGAAGAAGCTGTCAATCATTTTCGAAAAGCATTAGATATTTATCGAACATCTTTATCAGAAGATCATCCTAATGTTGAAAAGGCCAAGCGTAATTTACATACTTCAGAATTAGAACTGCAAAAGAAAAATATATCAGAAGACCATACCGATCAATCAATAAGATAAAATCAATAACTACAGACATTTCACATACAATTTTTATCGTAGTAGACGTTTTCAATCTTGCAACTTGAACAGTTTTCAATTGTTTTTTAATGCACATGTATTTAACCTTTATTCTAGATAAACATATACATATTAAAAAAAAAAGGATTTTTATTTCATTTGTGTTTGTTCACTTGATTTCTACAGTTCGGCATAGATTATGACGTATCCATAGATCCATACAATATTAATTAAAATTTTAAAAATCTATCTTTATGATTGTCAATTGAATTTTGTAAAAAAAAAACAAATTATCAACGTTTTTTATCATTTTCACACAGTTTGGAACTTATAATTAATTTTAAATATCGAATATTTATTATTATCCAGTGAAAAATTATTTAGAAAATAACGCGAATAAACATATTTATCAAAACATGGAAAGCTATCGTGTCGTCCACTGAATCGTTCTAAGTCGATAGGAGCCTGTTCTACATCTGAAGGAAACCATTCCGCTCTGTTTCATGATACCATGAACTGTTATATTCCTTCTTCGTTTGAAATCGTTCCTTTTCTGAATAGAAAGCTTTCTTAACGATCTCAGTAACTAATCAAAGAGTTCTCTTCATTCTTTTTCAGAACTGCCAAGATTTGGGTGTGGGTGTGGGTGCGGTATGAATGAAGGGTATATTAACAACCACAACCACACTCACACCCACATCCCAGTGAAGCTGAAGAATCTACGTGAGTTTCAGATTGCAGCCTCAAATCGGCTGCGCCAAGAAGCTTTATTTGTTCTTTTAATTTTTGCTCATATCTTGTCTTTTTTTCTTGAAAAAAAGTTTTTCTACTTGCTCATTACGACATCTAACATTCTCTTAGGTTTAATGGGTGAAGCGATACGTCAATTATCTTTCTTTTTTTTTTCTATCATTATTGTTATTACAAACGGTGCATGCCATGTAGAAGCACTAAAAAAACAAAGGTACACGTGTAGTTACTTGGGCAAACAAACTCTATTGCTTCAATTCTCTATGAAAGCAAATAATTGCACAACCATACTGTAGTTTGAAGAAATATTGCCAACAAACAGAATTTTATAAAGAATAGCAAATTTCAGTCAACATTCATTCTTAAGAAGCATACAATTCGAAAGCAAGCAGAAATTATGTGTGATAGAATTCCTGCAACTCTACTCACGATACCTGTTGATATTGTCTATCGAATTTTGGACAAACTTAGTGATCTTACTATAATAGTATCCGTTCGCAACGTTTGCGAACGATTAAATGTTATCAGTGATACATATCATCGATATCAGGTAAAATTTTCCATTATCATTTTTTTTATTTTGACTTTTCATGTAAGAATAGTAATTGTTTGTGTATAATATTAGAAATGGAATACTTTAGTTCTGTATTTTTGTCGCATGGCCATCGTACCGATAATTTTTTTTCCATATTTAAAGCTTTGTAGTCACAAAACTCTAATTAAAGCATACGTCACAGTTAGCATGAAAATATAGCTGCATTTTATACGTATGAATTAATTTCCGAAACAAAAATACATATTAACAGCTAAGTTATGTAAGTGAACTGAATTTATTGATTTTGGCAAATGTATAAAATATAAAGTCATATTAAACACCTTTAACAGAAGGATGTAGCTGTGACTGTGTATATGGTTGTGAGTAGGCTCTACGCCCACACCACTTTAGAAAGAAAACTTCCCACATTTTTCTACGAGAAAAAGCTAACTTCGAGTATTTTTCAGAAAAAGATGCCTTGTTTAATTGAATGTCCTTAATATAAGACAGTTTAATTGTGGTTTTAACCTTCAGTTTAACAGCATTTTGAAGTTTGGATACTTGATTAAAAATAATTTTTGCGTATACCAATGATAACTAAACCAAGTAAAACTCTTTTTTTCTTTCTACGAATAAAAACAAAGTTTCAACAATAGTCTTGAACAAATTTCGCGTGTTGTCCAGCGTTATCAATCCAGTAAAAATATACTTCCACTGTGTAACGACTCGACAGCATTTTGATTATATTACTGTTTTTCATATTCATGGAGAAAAATTAGATTTACCTTTTTTTAAGTCAGAACTCCTCTTTTTATTCGTTAGCTTCTGTCTTGTTTTGAAACAAGAAAATATCAGACTTATCAGACTTAAATACGGTTAAAACAAAACAAAAAGAAACATTTGACGCTTGCCATGATAAACAAGTTGAGAACGTCACGTATTGACCTATTTACCAGCTTGCTGTTACCGAAAAGTTGAGCCTACTCTATATTAAAATCGTTCCATTGCCGGCCATCCCGTTTACTTTTGCCTAAACCTCAATTCTGGCTGACATTTTATTTTATGGAATTCCAGTGAATTTGATTATTTACTTAAAAGTTTATAGGAACATATATTTTGTCGATTTCTACTGTCGTAATAGAGAGATGAATGACAGATGAAGATTTCATTGATGCGACTCATTTTAGAATATCTGATACAGAAGTCAATGTTGTAATGAAAAGTTGTTAGATGCCTTTGAATGAAACGACAGCTCTCAATATTTAACTAATAAGCATACTAAAAGCTTATACTTATATACATGCATGGTTAATATCGTCCTTAGATTGAATTCGTCGAGTGACACAATAAAAACTTCATCTAGAATTTAAAAGCTTGATTGTAAAAGAAAAATTTAACTGGGTTTTATTTGAAATATGAGAGAAAATAATTCTGGTTTTCCTCAAACTCAGTGTGTTTTTTATTTTGAAGCACATTTTATTGTGTAACTG